GAGACCCATGTAACAGTACTACATTGATAATAGTATGATATTTCATAAGAGGTCACTTCTAAAACCATGTACCTTAGTCACATTGAAAAATTTGCATCATATCTGAGGATGCATCATGAGAACACAATAATATTCAGTCAAATAAAAGAAGTCAAGTAGATACATGAAGTTCATTTTACTATTCTTGTGTTTACATTTGAAAATTTCATTTAAATTAAAGGCTAAGGAAAGAAATCGAGATAAGAAAGATGACAATGTCGTGTGAAGACAGATGTTCCTACTCCCAATTACTTACTTTCCTTTATTAAATATGGAGAAGCTAACATTCTGGGAACCTGTAACAAAAAGAAGCAGGGGAGAGGGCTGCATGAATGTCTTCGAACAGGCTATTGTTCCCATTAACCCAAGGGCTCCTCGAGTCAGCCTCTCTCACTGTAATTCCCTACCCATGTCCCATAGCAACCCCTCACTTGCTTCGCACCATGCGTCCCACTGACTGGCAGCAATAGAAAGACAAATGTGAGAGAATAGAGCAGATAAGAGTTTAAGCTTGGAGTGAGACTGAGCTGGATTTTAATCCTGTTGCAACAGTTACTTATTTCAATTTCCTCACCTGGAAAATGAAAATAATTCCATCTACCTCACAGGCTTGTGGTGGAGGATTAAATTAGTTTATATATAAGCTGCTTCCCATACTGTTAATTATTCCCAATGTTAATTATTATCAACACCTTCACAGGTCTCAATTCCTGACTTTGCAGTGAAAAAAAATGGACATGAATTAAAAAAGAATGTCATTTATCCAACAGACCGATATAGCTGCCTTCCACGCGGCACTGGAGGGTCCCAAGGCCATGGTCCTCCTGCACAGAATAACTATGAAAAGAATGCAAAAGTGGATATAAGAATCACCCAGCAGCACATCCCAGACATTTAGACTCTTCGGCTATGATGGTAAAGTCAAGTAAAAGAACAAAAGACAACAAATCAATCAGAAAAATTTTGTAGCTTCATAAGGTAAAATGGGGCTCATTGGAAGAAATACTTAGGGAAATAACAACTAGTTTCATCACTGGTACATAGACTACCAAGCGGACACACAATACGAGAGATAAAATATAACTTATTCTTCCTTCCAACCAGTTCTCTTTTCCCAAAATCTTATATGCACAACCAAAAGCACATCTAAAACATAGGGAGAGGAATGGTGAGGGGGGACTGTTAGCAAGTGCAAATCCAAAAAAGGGAAAATTCTGAGCAAGTCAATTAATGAAACCACATTATAGAATGTGACACTACTAAACCCTAGTCCTCAAAGCTAAGCCATAGAGTATAATTCTCATAAACAACAGCAAAAACTCCCTGCCACTAATTGACCCTAGTCAACAAGACAGATCTGCCCCTGTGGGTTTCCGAGATGGTAACCATTATGGGAGTAGAAAGGCTCATCTTTCTCCCACTGTGCAGCTGGAGGGTTCCAACGACTGCCCTTGAGGTTGGTTAGCACTCCGACCAGCCCGCCAGGTAAGTCTCACATGAGTCTTGAGGAAAGATGAATCCCCCTAGTTGAATCCAGAGCTAAGTGAAAGTCCAGAAAAATGTTGGCTATCAGAACGGTGAATGTGTGGGTACTTAAGAATAGATATTCAATTCTACACCCACCCTCACTCTAACTCCCTGCCAGGCAGTCGAAGCCAACTCATAGTGACCCTATAGGACAGAGTAGAACCGCCCTGTGGGTTTCCAAGTCAGTAACTCTTCACTGGAGTGGCAAACCTCGCCGTTCTCTAAGGTGTGACTGGTGATTTCAAACTGCTGGCTTTGCTGCAACAGCCCAACAGGCAGCCCACTGTGCCACCAGGGGTCCTATAGCTCATGTTTATAGTGATGAGGCTGCCAGAGTTCAAATCCCAGCTCTGCCACTCAGTCGCTGTGAGATGGTGGGCAAATTACTTATCCTCTCTGTGCCATAAGCAAATGTATCTGCAAGGCTACTAGATAATTTAAACGTAAAGCCTTAGAGCAGGACTTGGCTTATAGAAGGCTAATAAAAACAAACTCACTGCCATCTAGTCAATGCTGACTCATAGCGACCCCTACAGGTTCCCAAGACAGTAACAGTTTATGGGAGTAGAAAGCCCAGGGAGTAGAAAGCCCAGTCTTTCTACCTTGGAGCTGCTGGTGGCTTTGAACTGCCTACCATGAAGATTGCAGCCAAACCCATAACTGCTCCACCACTAGGGCTCCTGTTAGAAAAATAATAGTAAACAATAAGTATAGCTATTGTTTTCAATGTCAACTTCAATTTGCATGCTTAGAGTCCACTTCAATTTGCATTTTGAAGCAATCCTTGAACATATCCAGAAAGTTTTGAGATATATCAAATAAATTATGGATTATTTTTACTTATAAATAAATAGGCATCTATGTGTGTTCAGGAGCCCCAGTGTCGTGGTCATTATGTATCGGGTGGCTAGTCATAAGGTCAGCAGTTCGAAACCACCAAGTCTCCCCTGGAGAAAGATGAGCCTTCTCACCCCAGAAGAGTACAAGTCTCAGAAACGCACAGGGGCAGTTCTAACCTATCCTCCAGGATCACTCTGAGTGGGGTTTGTTTGTTTGTTTGTTTGTTTGTTTGTTTGTTTGTTTGTTTTTATGTGTGTGTGGACCTAAAAGCCTATTTGTTGGAAAGAAAAGATAAGCACTCACCAACTTGCTGTCTGCCTGTTTACCAGAGAGCAAGGAGTGAACCACTGGTCTCTTTGAGCTTCCAAGGTCAACGGGCTGTGTGAAAAGTAGAAAAGAGAGACACAAGGCAATAGTGCACGATTCCCAGCACCTATCCCTGTCAGAACTCGGGGGAGGAATTATGAACCTCCTCCTCCTCCTGATGTCTACAGTCATTATTGCATGTGGCAGAAAACTTCCTCAAGGAAACCTTGAGTCAACTGTTCAGCCTGAGAGCAGGGATGTACAGTCTGCACTTGGGCACAGCAGCAGAAAAGGTCCTCCTTCCTGGAAAATCCTTTTTTCTTTTTAACCATTTTATTAGGGGCTCACACAGCTCTTATCACAATCCATACACACATCAACTGTGTAAAGCACATCCATACATTCATTGCCCTCGTCATTCTCAAAACATTTCCTCCCCACTTAAGCCCCCAGCATCAGTTCTGCATTTTCTCCCCTCCCTCCCCCGTCCCCCTCCCTCATGAACCCTTGATAATTTATAAATTATTATAATTTTGTCATAAGTTACCCTGTCTGACCTCTCCCTTCACCCACTTTTCTGTTGTCCATCCCCCAGGGAGGAGGTTATATGTAGATCCTTGTAATTGGTTCCCCTTTCTACCCTGCCTTCCCTCCACCCTCCCGGGATCACCACTCTCACCACTTGTCCTGAAGGGATCATCCGCCTTGGATTCCCTGTGTCCTGGAAAATCTTTAAAGACCTCACACTGCTCTACTGAATCTACCCAGCACAACTATGGTGCTTATGGCTTTATTTCTCTTTCAAAGGCTGCACTGCAGACCCACGCTGAAATGGGTCTAAGTGGTGAACATGGCATAGTGTCAAGAAAGCTCTTAGGGCTTCTGTCCCTGCAGGAAAAGTAAGTTCCTTCAAGACAAGCTGACCTCTACTTAAAGTATCTGACCAGAAATGTAGGTCTTAAAAGTAATCACTTAAAAGTAATTACTTAAAAGTAATCACCTCATTCTTCAACTAAGGCAGAATCAGAAAGGTGCCCCTATCCCTTCTAGGATTGTGGGGGACATTAGAGTCAGTGCATAGAATCTACTCAGCCAGTCATATAATAGGATTGCCCCCTTACCTTAGAAATTCTCACCATACTTGTTTCATACATCAAACAATCACAGCTTCATATATTGACTAATAGAGCTTTCCAGAAGGGCCACAGCCACAACACTGCCCCTTTTTTTCCTTCTCTTTCCCGAGTATGAATGATTTAATAGCACCACTTTTCCCTTAAGTCTCCAGTGGAGAAAAGCCATTTGACATCCAATTCATTTCCAGAAAACTTTAAAAACTCCACGGCATACTGTGCCTGCTTCCACTATTTCCCCTGGTCACACTAATAGAATTTCTAAATGCACAAACTGGTGACAACCAAACAAGGAAGGCAAAGTGGACATTTGGTCTTTAGGCTTCGTTTTAGACAGAACGTACTGTAACCTGGATATCCAGAGGAGGGTAAAGAAAGGAAAAAGAAAATCCACAGGGGCAATTATAATACAATTCACACTGAGCCGAGTGACTGGTGGCCAGTAACTAACTGGACCAATTTAATCGACCAGGCATGATTGCATTGGCAAAGTTAGCTGAAGCCCAGCTCACCAGCGACCAGAAACCGCATGGAGGAAAATAATTCGGTGCCAACTGCTTACAATGTATTGCTATCAGGGATGCCACGTGGGGAGCAATCCGGGAGATTTACAACCCCCTCCAAGCAGAAATAAAAGACGAACTTACCTATCAATGTATTCAGCATCAAAATCAAAGGTTTCCACTCTTCCAGTGATAATCCAGCCATGCACATGGATCATATTTCCTGTTTGACGAATATATTTAAACGGTTAATGGACTTGGCTCAAATTCGAAATGTATAACTGAAGCTGAATTGTTTTCTTGAAAACTCCTACCCAATGTGGCCCACCTGGTCATAACCCAGATTAATACTTTAAAAATAAATTGTACAATGGTATGATCCCGTGATAACTATTAGCCATGAGAAAGGCTAACGTGGCTATTTTTCCATCACAAAGATGGCTGCCATTGAGTCAACGCTCACTCCCGGAAACCTTAAATGCAACCAGTGTCTGGCTGGACACCCCGTCATCGTGATCGCTGACGTGTTCCCTTCATGGGCTTTCTACACAAGGGCACTTCAAAAATCCGTGGAAAATGGAATTAAAAGGTAACGATTTTTTTCTATGTACTTTTGGAAGTTCCCTTGTATGTGGAGCACACGAGGACTGATGGCTCTTCCTCACAGCCCCACAACATGCAAGGTTTTCAGGAGGGCGGGCTGATTGCCACACACTGCCCTGGCCCTTGCTCTGGGCTCTACGTAAACATTCACTCAATAGATTAGGAACGACATGGCTTGGGCGGCTGCTCTTAGCTTGATGGGACTTTTCTCTAGACACTTGCTGGCATGGAGATAAAGAGAGCTATGCCATGTGACCTGGATGGGTATTCAGAGATCCTACATATGTTTCCAGAACACTTCATTGGCTCACGTGGAAACTGTATGTGGATCGAGAGCAGTTGTATGAACAAAACCAGAACATCCTGCATGATTTAAAATCAGGAAACACGTGCATCGGGGTTGTATCGTGTCACCCCATTTATTCAAACTGTATACTGAGCAAATCATCACAGAAATTGGATTTTATGAAGCAGAGAGTGGATCAGGATCGGAGGAAGGCTTATTAACAACTGTGACTTGCAGACGGCACAGCCTTGCTGGCTGACAATGAGGAGGACTTGAAGCCCTTGCTGATGAAGATCAAGGATTGAGGCCTTCCGTATGGATTGCAACTCAATGTAGAGACCACAATCCTCACAACTGGACCAATAGGTGACATCATGATAAAGGGAGAAAAGATTGAAGTTGTCAAGGAGCTTGTCTTGCTCAGATCCACCATCAGCGAATGCTCAGGGGAGCAGCAGCCAAGAGATCAAAAGGCACGTTTCACTGTAGGAAGTCTTGTAAAGGAAGGATGTTACTTTGAGAATGAAGGTGTACCTGACCCAAGTCATGGTATTTTCAAATGCTTCATATGCCTGTGAAAGTTGGACATCGAATAAGGAAGGCCAAAGAGGAACTTGTACATTTGAACTGTGGTGCTGAAGAGGAATATTGAAAGTACCATGAACTGCCAAAAGAACAAATCTACCTGGAAGAATTGCAGTCAAAATGCTCCCTAGAAGCAAAGGCAGTGAGACTTGTCTCAGCCACTGGGACTTGCTATCCAGAGAGACCAGTGCTGCCTGCAGAAGGACACGGTGCTTGGTGAAGAGGAGGTGCAGTGAAAAAGAAGAAGGCTCTCACCAAGATAGATGGACACAGGGACAGGAACAATGGACTGAAACACGGGAACGACTGAGGGTGGCGCAGGCCAGGTGATGCTGCATTCTACCTATCTCACTACATAGGTCAGAACCAACTTTTTGGCATGGAATAAAACTATATTTGTCTCCAGATTTCAAAATGCCAGAAGTGTCATAGAAGGCCCAAATAAACAAGACCTAAGTAAGAAAGGAGGAGCCCTGGTGTTGTGGTGGTTAAGGGTTGGGTTGTTCAACATAGGGGTCAATGGTTCAAAATAGCCAGCTGCTCCAAAGGAGGAAGATGAGGCTTTTACTCCCCAAAAGGTTGATAGTCTCAGAAACCCTCTGCTACCGTATCCTGAGGGCTGCCATGAGTTAGTATAGACTCAATGGCAGGGTGGTTAGAGGTGTTTTTTGGAGGAAGGACACAAAATAACAACAAAGTTGCACATGAGAGGGTTGGCAATTGACACATATCATTTATTCAAAATAGTGTACTGCGCTAGACTCATGTTCAAGTACAGGGTCAATCAGGGCTCCACAAACAGTTTGTGTGTGCCTTCTACTCTCCGTGCATGCTCTCTGTGACTTGAGGGATTTCCATTGGGTAGTGAGACTCTTTGTAATATTCCCTCTTTTGAGGAAACAAGAATGAAGATGCAGTCAACTGAAATCCCCAGCCAGCAAGATGTACAGCCTACTAGTCTCATGACTCATAGCAATTGGGATCCCTTACCAAAATACTGCAGGCACCCTGGTAGCCGTGGAGGGTAGGCCTTGGGCTGTTCACCACAATGCCAATGATTCAAACCCACCAGCAGCTCCTCAGGAGAAAGACGAGACTCTCTGTCCCATTAATATTACAGCCTTAGAAGCCCTACTCAGGGTCCCTGTGAACCTCACCTGATTCGATGACAATGAGACACAAGATGCTGTACGGCCTGATCTTTTTCACATTTGGCAAGCATCGACACTCACTTGCATAGGACTGCAGGGGGCGAGTGTTCTAAGCGCATACACCATAGCTGTGTGATGCAGCCAAAGTTCACCACACAACGTCACCACGTGAAACTACCTGCATTCCAAATAACTAAAGGATGTAACCACTTGTCTGCAGCACCCAACCAAGGCGTCAGGATGAGGGAAGTGTAGGTCAATGAGGTCAGACCTCGAACATGGAAGGAATATGGGTGCATGTGGGACTCATGAGGTCTGAACTCAGAGGATATTGAATTCTTTTCATTGACAATTAAGAACTCAAAAAAAAAACCAAAAAACTTTACCAACAAAGTCTATATCTTTTCACACGGGGCTTGTTTCCTTACTAACAAGGGCTGCTCATCTACAGTCCCTGGACGCCTTTGGAAGTCACTGAAACAGTGGGGCCTTCCAAGTACTCGTGCAACCATTTTCCAGGAGGCTAAGGAGAAAGGGAGGGAACCGAATGGCTTAAATGAAAGTCCCAGAGTCGTCGAAAGCCTGACTCTGGCATTCTCTGGCACTTGGCTAACAACGGGCAGAAGAGCTCTCTTTATTTTAGGAGAACTTAAGAATCAACTTTCCAGCTTTGGGGGTGGGGAGAATTCTTGCTTTGGTGGGCACAGTTTAAACGACTATTAACAGATTGCAGAAATCAGGAGTGCCTGTGAGTTCTGGCTTTCTTTTTAAACAAAGACTCCCCAACAGAGACTGACTAAATGCCTGAGCCACATCGTGGTGCCAAGGGATTCTGCGTTACAGTATGAGACTGTTAACCACATATAGACATGCCGCTGCTCAGAAAACACCATCTCTTCCCCTCTCCCCAACACCTCCCCCATCTTCCTGGCTGCTAACTCTGGGCAGGCTTCCCAAATGAAATGAAAGTAATCGTCTGGAAAATGATTGCAAAGATGCAGCTGTGTGGATCCTGCCCGGAGGGACCACTCCAAAGGAGGCCCAACACCAATCGTTCCCCACGAAGGTGGAGGAGGCAGTGTGCGGAACCCAGACTTGATGGGAGAAACGGGCTTGACAGATCTGGGTGTCGCCTGCTAGGCCATTTCCTACCTCTGGAGGCTGGCTCCATCCTCATCCCTCACCCTAACAAGACTTCTGCTGTCTACCAACTACAGCCTGAGACTTTCACACACCACATTTTCTTTCAATAAGCATTATCGTGTCTTCATTAGTCAGACGAATAGAGAGGAATAGGTTTGTAAACAGCCCACACCAATAAGATCATTCTTAGTTCACATCCCTTCATAGGAGCCCTGGTGGCATTGTCAGGTTAAATGTTGGACTTCTACTAATAAGGTTGTCAGTTCAAACCCCCCATCTGCCCCTTGGGAGAAGGAGGAGGCTGTGTGTTCTTGTAAGGTGTATAGCGTCAGAGCCAAGTTCAGGGTCATTATGAGTTGGAATGGACTCAATGGCAATTGGTTAGGGGTCTATCAATTTCCATCCTTCAAAAGATAACGCAAGCACAAATATATAACCTGCTTCTGTGTCCACACACAAAAGGGGGTGGGAGTTTCAATCACTTAGTTATTCCTGTGGACATTCTTGACCAGTTAAGCCTTCTAAAAAGATCATGTTATGCATTTAGGCACAACAATATATAAGCACTGTGCATGTTGTTTTCACCCCTTTAGGCCATTGTGAAAACCCGTCTGAACAAATGAACTAGAAGTAGGAGATTGCAAAGAATCAGACAGCAAATTACACAATCCTGGCTGTATTTGCTACTGAGTTCCAAAATCTGTCTCTTACTTGCAATTCCTTCTCCTTTTATCTACATTCCTCAGCTTGCTCGATCTCCTTCTCTTCTGCCTGCCTGGCCTCTACATATCGGTGCGCTTTCTGACTCAGAAATAAATTCCCCAGATGAGAATCAGAGTTCAAGATTTCTTAAGCAGTATCCAACAGGGCGCAGCACAGGACAAAATAGTGTGTATGTGTACACTGAATTCTGAGTGGGTTTAAATCTCAGCTATGCCACTATGCTTGATTTTAGCCAAATTACCTAAGCTCTTGGTACTGTGATTCCTTAACTTGGAAATGGGTACAATTAAAAGAGTTCTCCTATTGTTAGGATTTTGTGATACCCTAACAAGACAATGCTTATCAAGGGCTTCGAATAGAGTGAGCATTGGGTGAAATTTAACATGACATAAATGATTGGTAAGTTTAAGAGCCATGATGGCTTCTGTTTCCTGCATGCTCCTGCATCGCCTGCTTTGATTTTGCTGGTCTTTGTCTTTGCTCTCAGTGAGATTCAAGAAGGAGGGCTTAGTGGTGAAACCAACCCAGGAGAAAATAAACCAGCGGTTGACACCGATTTTCAAAACAACCACCCAGGATGAGCTGAAGACGCCTTCTTACAAAGACCATCTTCTTGGGTAGAAGCGTCAGCGAAAAATTGCAGCCAAAGGATTCATAATTATTTCTGTTTGAACAGAAACTCTCTTACCTGGAACTCCACTTGATGGGTTAACTTGATAAATAACGGGTGTCTGTGCCTTGGAAAACTGTTTAGAAAACATGATCACAAGTGAATATTTCATTAGACCCTAGCAACCACAAACACACGAAGTGCAAGTCATTTCTCATAAGGCGTTAGTCTAGGATAATAGGTAGTTACGTTTCTCCAAATTACCTTCACATCGATTTCTTTTATCCTCATTGTATATCTAGGAAGCTGAGATGACAGATATGATTAGATCTCTTCTCCAGAGGAGCCAGAGGGAATTTAATCAAGGCCATACAGCTCTTTAGCCTGAACCATATGGCCCTAAACCTTGGCTAGCCTATTTCTGCCTGCCCATCTGCCAGGAACACATTGACCAAAAGGGAAAATAGTCCACCATGCTTCAGAAGACCAACTTTTAAATTCCGTTTTGAAACTCAATTCCTTTGAGCCTTCGAGTTTTGTAACTTTTGTTTTGCCAAACAAGAATTTGCTTAATGTAATTGGAAGGATTGCAACTTAATTCTTTTTTTTTTAATATTAGCTCAGGATCTATATGAAGAGCCCTTTGATGTCTCCAAGATGGTTCCATTATAATTGGCTGGACAACCAGTGTGCTCCATTGTGGTAGCAATGCCCTTACGGAGAAAGCTGGCACCTGCCGTGCTCCTCTATGATGTGTGGTCAGCGAAGGACGATGGTAAAACCTCCAGCCAAATAGATCCCCAACAGTTCCCAAGTAATGCAGTAAACAAATCTTTTCTTTTTCTTTTTAGCCCCTGAAGTCTGTTTCAGTTTTACTTCTCCTCCTTTTGTCGCCATGCAGGCCAGGGTTTAGATCTGGCGAGGAAGGGGTCTGGAGGGCTCTCAAGGCTGTGCCCTTTCTCTGGTGTGGAAGCTCCTTAATCCAGTGTCAATTTGAGGATTCAGAGTGAAGGGGTGGAGTCTAGTCTGTCAATCAGGCCGTAGCTTGATGACCTTATTTGGAGGCACTAAGGAGATAAATAGCTCACTGGAGGCAGGATGCAGAGGTCGGACGCATGCTCACTCCCTGACAGACACCCCTGTGGAGAAGACACATGGAGAGAGGCTGATAGAGCCAGGCCTCTGGAGCCAGCAAAGCCACGTGGAGACCCCTGCCAGCACTGAGATGCCTCTACCGCCACTGGATCCACAAGACTTTGCACCCACTGGCCTATGATTTTCCTGCGGCATCATTGCATGTGTTTTGTGAGTCTGAAGAGGACTTTATATATTGGTATCGGATATATGGGCTAATATCAGACTTATGGACTTGATCTGGACTGGGATTGGATGGTTTCTCGATACTCAATTGCTCTTGTAGATACAGCTCTTTCTTATACACATGAGTGGCTGTGAATTTGTTTCTCTAGTCTTCCCAGACGAACACATCTAGTCTTTTCTTGCTTTCTTTCCTTCTTTCTTTCCTTTTATTTGTGGAATATAAGAGCCTCAATGAGAAACAAACAAAGCATAGTTCAACTTAAACAATTATCAACCAGCATCTAGATAGGTGTTTGGAGCCTATGAAAACTGGAAAGTTGGATAGCTACACAAGGGAAGTGCTTATTGGGAGACTGGAATGTGCCCATTGGCAGGAAAATGATTCAAATAGTTCAAGATTCAGGGAAGAAAAAAAATACATATATGTATGTATTTTAATATATATATATATAAAAGTTTAAGGAGGAAAATGACACTGGGAGAGGTTGGAGCTTGTAAGTGCCTGGCCACAGCACTCCAAGTTCTCTTGCAATGTCCCTTGTCCCCATGGGCACCATCTCCACAAAGCTCCATAAACTCTATAATGGCAGGGACAATTCGAGACGCAGTTGAGCCCGAAGATCTTCAAATTCGTAAATTGTTCCATCTCGAATGTTGGTATGCTTCCTGGACGCAGAGAAGAGAATGTGAAGTCTGAGGAACTGCATCTCGCCCATCAGAATTTGTGTGAATCTATGATTCGGCATTGATAGAATGCTCACCTTTCATGTGGGATACTGGAATTTGATTCCTAGCAGCTTAATTTGATCCAGAGCAACAGAATTGTATCCCTAGTATCCACCCATCCATCTGCCCACGAGGCAGAGGTTTCAGTAGAACTTCCATATTAAGATGGAACCGAAAGAAAAGCCGAATGACTTCTTCCAAAATCAATCCATGAAAATGTGATGGATCACAATAATCTGACCTGCAACCAATCATGGGAATGGTATATGACTGAGCAAGCTATAGCTTCCCTGTGCCTGGGTCACCATGCGCTGTGGTCCCCACTCCACAGCAACTAGCAACAACAAGAAACACACAACTCTCGGGAGATGGTGCTGGGGGGCAGTAGGAAGGAAAGGACATCAGGGTGGACGACCCAGGCCAAGGTTTGACCCAAAAGCCAATGACTCAACGTCTCGTCTCTGGCTTTCACCACCACCGCTCCTAACCTCTTGACGACACTTAGGCCTCCACCCCAATCGTCTCCAGCGCTTCGTGAAATAAATTACAGCCGATTGTTTTCCTTGGTCTGCTTCTACCACCCAGGAGTCTACCTTCCCGGAGAGACTACAACCGAACAATGACTCTGTTGTTAATCACCAACCCTAATCAGACATCTAAAACCAAGACTTTTTAGCAGAGCTGATGGTGGCTTGGCGAGTTTAGGTTTTAAGTATTGATCCACATAGCTGAACAGTCGGTCTGCTGTCAAGATTAGTGTTCCCCACCTTTTCAGGGAAAGGGCTAGAAAAATAGTTCACGGAAATATGTGCATCCAAGGGGTCAACCTAAGTGTAATGTGACCTCAGTGATTGGGGGCTGGCTTGGATCTCACCAGAAGATCCGGGTTAATACAGTTCCACCCATACCTGCCAAATATACAACTCCCCATCCTCCTCATCACCCCCCACGCGGGGCCTTTGTCTCCTGCTGGGAAGGGCTTTCCTATCGATGTCATTGCCAATAGAACTTGATCATCAGAGCCTCTTGAAGTAGATCAGTGGCTATTCCCCCATCTCATGGGTGTTGGGAACCAAGGCAAACAAATGAACGTAGTCTAAACCAAAGAAAACATACCCCCAACTCCACCCCCTAATTTCCAACTTGTAAAATAAGACGTACCACTCAGGAAAGCGGAAACCCTTTTACTGGAAGTTTGTGGGGCACACAGTGACACCTTTGTTAGACGTTCCCAAGCCCTCAGGGTGGTGGAGCAGGCTCAGGGCTGAACTTCAAAAAGGGCTCCACTTGAGGGTCTCTCTGAGCCAACACAGCATAAAATGGTGCACTTCTGAGAGACATGGGCCCCTGACCGCCCACCAAGCCCGAGACAGGGCAGAGTGAAAAATTAATAAGCTTCCAAATTGTGCTTCCTGCCTGCTGATTGCTGAGCTATCGGAAGGTCAGCAGCATCAAGGTGGGGAGAGGAGCAGAGGCAGATCGAATGAGAGAGCCACAGCCTCCGGCTGGGCGACAGGCCTTCTGTGAAGAGTCCCCACCTGCTGGGGCAGGGCCAGCGGCCAGCCTTTGGAACGGGCTGGCAAGGTGTAATGAATTTTTATACTCCTGGCTCCCCCAGTGCCAGTCCCCAAACAAAAGGACATGCTGGGTTTTCTTTAGCTTGGAATGCCTCTCATGAACCGCATCCCCTGGTGATTTCTCATCAAGTCACCAGGCTAGCTGAACCATTGTAGGCAGGGTTTCTTTCGCTCCCCTCTTTCTCTCCTGACCCATCTTGTCCTAAGTAGGAAAAAACTAGTGACTGGGGGTGAAAGGAACGTCAAAACCCAACTCAGCACGGTGCTTACGGAGCAGGTTTAGTTATCTCCCTTCTGTCTCGGAGACAGCAGAGGACTGCTGATATGGGTTCTAATCAGAAGAGATGATATTCTCTCTCTCTCTCTCTCTCTCTCTCTCTCTCTCTCTCTCTCTCTCTCTCAGCCTCATCCCGGAAAACAAGGTTCTCTTTGACTGAGGAAGAAGTGGTTCAATGTGAATTGAGGAAACATTCTAAATTTCAAGATAAGATCTATGTTCATATATTTATATGTTGTGTATTAAGGTAGCGGATGGACATTGGGCCTCGACTCACGTACTCACTGAACACAAGAACACTTTGGTCTATTAACCTGACAGTCCGTGATGCTCACCTTCCTGACAAAATCTCTGAAGTCAAAACAGGTGCATAAGCAAATGTGGTGAAGAAAGCTGATGGTGCCCAGCGACCAAAAGATATAGCATCTGGGGTCTTAAAGGCTTGAAGACAAACAAGAAACCATCTAGCTTGGAAGCAACAAAACCCACATGGAAGAAGCACACCAGCCTCTGTGATCATGAGGTGTCGATGCGATCAAGTATCAGTCATCAAAGACCCCAAACAAAAAATCCTATCAATGTGAATAAGGGGGCGTGTGGAGTGTAGACCCAAAGCCCAGTCAGGGTG